ACTACAGGTGTGAGCCACTGCACTCAGCTTGATTTCTATTCTTTTAAATATGTTACTTTGTAAAAGTGGCCCAGAATGTGGTCTATCTTGGTCTGGGCTGTTTTTCGAGGAGAAAGTTGCCAAAGAGTCTAGGGCTTGGCTAGTTTTTACCTTAATCCTAAAATTAAATGCTTCTCTTTCTTGGCCTTGGCACACTATTTTGGCTAGTCTCTCACAAAAGAACTTCTGTCTATGAGCTGTTGATTACAGAGCTGTACTTGTAGAGGAAATACACACAGAGATTGGAGTAGATGATTAAAATAGTTTTAATGACCATTTATTAGACACTTAACTATTTGCTATCACTTTATATTTGTTGTCTCAGTAAGTTCTTCTAACTACCTATAATTTGTAGGTACCATTATGTCTTTTTTACAGCTAAGGAAACTGAGATTCAGGAAGATTAATTTACACAAAGTCATACTACATTAGGTATTGTCAGGAAGTGTCAAAATCTGGTTCATTTGACTCTGAAGCTATATTCTCTAAAACCATGCAAAAACAAACAAACAGGCCAGGCGCAGTGGCTCACGCCTGTAATCCTAGCACTCTGGGAGGCCAAGGCGGGTGGATCGCTCAAGGTCAGGAGTTCGAAACCAGCTTGAGCAAGAGCGAGACCCTGTCTCTACTAAAAAATAGACAGAAATGATATGGACAACTAAAAATATATATAAAGAGAAAAAATTAGCTGGGTATGGTGGTGCATGCCTGTAGTCTCAGCTACTCGGGAGGCTGAAGCAGAAGGATCACTTGAGCCCAGGAGTCTGAGGTTGCTGTGAGCTAGGCTGACGCCACGGCACTCACTCCAGCCCAGGCAACAAAGCGAGACTCTGTCTCAAAAAACGAACAAACAAACAAACAAAAAAGCTGTAAGATCCCAGTTCAAGCCAGACTCTAATCCATGGCAGAAAGGGAAAACTGAAGTTTGCTAAGGAACATTTGTTGTACAATGCTGTGCCTTGATTAGTTTCTTTCCACAATCAGTATCACTGACAGTCTTGGTGCCTTTAGCATCAGGCATTCTGGTATTGGTACTTTCTAATAGCACCTATCTTGAAGTTAAATTGTAGACTATGTTTATCTAGCTTAGAGTTTCTCAACCAGATGGTTTTTATCCCCAGGGGACACTTGGCAATGTCTGCAGATATTTTTGGTTGTCACAACTGGGTGGAGGGGAGTGCTACTGGCATCTGAAGGGTAGAGGCCAGGGATGCTGCTAAATGTCCTACAATACACAAGACTCCTCCTCATCTCCCAAACAAAGAATTGTCTGGCCCAAAATATCAATAGTGCAGAGCTTGAGAAACCCTGAGCCTAGCTTGTTCCATTCTGTTATTACATGGGAGAACCTTGAGACGTAGAAATTCCTCAGCAGTCTCTCAGGATTTGGTTTCTGAGGCTAAGTGCCTCCTATGGAAAAATTTAATAGCTCAGTCCATTAACTTGCTCTGGCACATTTCCTGTACATTCAGCTTAGTGGCCAGTGATTGGGTTTTGTTTTTTTTTTAATAGAGTGGTGCCTTTTCTTCCTGATGTTCCTGAGAGACGAGCTCAATTGGCCTGCAGTTCTTGAGGCAGAGAACCTAGGGACAGTACTCTAACCTGTTGCTGGCATCTTTCACTCCCTAATCTGTGTTTACACGGCAGTGAAAATCAACTCTCCCTGGTGCCAAGCTTTGTTCCTCCTCAGCACTCTGGCACCATTGGCAGAGAACACTTCCCCAGTCTCTTCCACACAGTACAGCCCTACATGTTTTATTGCCCAGCTGTTCTCTAGAACACGTTTCTTTTTTTCTTTTTGAGACAGAGTCTTGCTCTGTTGCCTGGGCTAGAGTGCCATGGCATCAATCTAGCTCACAGCAACCTCAAACTCCTGGGCTCAAGCAGTCCTTCTGCCTCAGCCTCTCGAGTAGCTGGGACT